CCACAGTGTGGATGAGCCCTTTGTTGCATTAATTAGTGCAATATTTGTATTTCATCCTGTTTTCATGAGCTGCTATGGGTATTAATTCCTGATGGGGAGGGTTGTTAGAAAGAAAGAAAGAAAGAAAGAAAGAAAGAAAGAAAGAAAGAAAGAAAGAAAGAAAGAAAGAAAGAAAGAAAATTCTTCTTTTTTCTTTTTTCTCTCTCTCCATCTTGATATACTGCTATTTGATGTAATAATTTCTTTTTGTTATATTTTTATTTGTTGTTTCATTTGTTTGTAAGCCGCCTAGAGTGGTCGCAAGACCAGATAGGCGGGATATAAATAGAATAAATAAATAAATAAAACTGGAATTAGTTGAGAACTTCTAACACCCCACTCTCTTTGGCTTTTATGGATTCCCTTTGTTTAAGCTCTTTCCATTTCCAGCTGCCTTTTTTCATTTTCAGCCAGTCACATCAGTATTGCATGTGTTAATTACTACTGTGCACAGGAAATGTCTGGGCAGGAACTAAAGAACTCTAAGTCTCATAGTGCTTGGCAGGAGACGTCAGAAAGGGTGGTACTGTACAATGCTTTCTATCACTCAAATTAGATGTTAAGGGGATGTGAATTTCCTCTTAAATCTAGCTTGCTTCCATAATGCAACTTCCCCAAAGATAAGTCTCTTAGCCATCAGCTACAATATTTTTAGCCGCACCATTGCCAGTGATTTCCTCTTAAATCTAGTTTGCTTCCATAATGCAACTTCCCCAAAGAATAAGTCTCTTAGCCATCAGATTTGTGAATGAAACCCATTCTTACCCTATGATGCCCAATCACAAAACAAAGTGTTCTAAATGGAAGCTACATAGTTGAGGAAACATGCTGTCACAAAGTGCTATCTTTCATTAGCCGCACCATTGCCAGTGATTTCCTCTTAAATCTAGTTTGCTTCCATAATGCAACTTCCCCAAAGAATAAGTCTCTTAGCCATCAGATTTGTGAATGAAACCCATTCTTACCCTATGATGCCCAATCACAAAACAAAGTGTTCTAAATGGAAGCTACATAGTTGAGGAAACATGCTGTCACAAAGTGCTATCTTTCACCACTTCAGAAAGAAATTCTTGCAAATATGTACTAAATACACCACCTGACTATCCCTAAACAGCAACGTCTAGAGGTTTCTGTACTGCACTTCCCTTCCCTTCCTTCCAGATCCCCAAATCCGTGGGATCAGTATCCATTATGTTCTAAATGGAAGCTACATAGTTGAGGAAACATGCTGTCACAAAGTGCTATCTTTCACCACTTCAGAAAGAAATTCTTGCAAATATGTACTAAATACACCACCTGACTATCCCTAAACAGCAACGTCTAGAGGTTTCTGTACTGCACTTCCCTTCCCTTCCTTCCAGATCCCCAAATCCGTGGGATCAGTATCCATTACTTATCTAGAGGTTTCTGTACTGCACTTCCCTTCCTTCCAGATCCCCACATCCGTGGGATCAGTATTAGAAATATTAAAAGAAAAATCCTAAAAATATATACAGTATTTCTAAAGATGAAGTTAACAGACTGGCCACTAGAGGGAGCAAGATACCATGCTATGTAAAGTGTTTGCTATTAAAATGGTCACTATAATCCACATTTTTCAGCATCCATGGGAGCACTTGAAACTGATTCCAAACAAATATGTGGCTCTTACTGTATCTCAATATTTCGTGAAGTAGAACATCATATCTCTCATGTGGTATGACCACAGTAAGCCAATTCCTTCTGCTCTCTGAGCCTGAAAGAATTGGCTTACTGTAGGTCCTAAGATAAATTATCCCCCTAAGATTAAAAAAAAACCCTTCATGGATAGCTGCCTTGTCATGGCAAAGGGGCTTGAGTAATTCAGAGAAGCTATGGGCTATGCCATGAAGGGACAACAAAGAGAGACAGGTCATAGCAGAGAGTTCTGACTAAACACGATCCACCTGGAGCAGGAATTGGCAAGCCATTACAGTATCTTTGTCAAGAAAACCCTGTGAACAGAAACAAAAGGCTAAAAGGTATGACACTGGAAGATGAGCCCCTCAGGTTGGAAGGCGTCCAACATGCTACTGAGGAAGAGCGTACAAGTACGGGTAGCTCCAGTGCTAATGAAGTGGTTGGGCCAAAGCCGAAAGGACGCTCAGCTGCAGACATGCCTGGAAGTGAAAGGAAAGTCTGATGCTGCAAAGAAAAATACTGCATAGGAACATGGAATGTAAGATCTATGAACCTTGGGAAGCTGGAGGTGGTCAAACAGGAGATGGCAAGAATAAACATTAACATCCTGGGCGTCAGTGAACTGAAATGGACGGGAATGGGCGAATTCAATTTAAATGATTATCAATAAAGAAAAATACTACATAGGAACCTGGAATGTAAAATCTATGAACCTTGGTAAACTGGATGTGGTCAAACAGGAGAGGGCAAGAATAAACATTAACATCCTGGGCGTCAGTGAATTGAAATGGACGGGAATGGGCGAATTCAATTCAGACGATTATCATATATACTATTGTGTGCAAGAATGCCATAGAAGAAATGGAGTAGCCCTTACAGTCAACAAAAGAGTGGGAAAAGCTGTACTGGGATACAATCTCAAAAATGATAGAATGATTTCAATATGAATCCAAGGCAGACCTTTCAACATCATGGATGGAGGCGCGTAACATTGTACAGGAGACAGCAACAAAAACCATCCCAAAGAAAAGGAA